CATTGCGAGATAAAAGAACGATAATTTTTTTTTTCGTTGGTATTCAATATTATGAAGGAAAATGAGCGCACGTCAAACTCTCTGCAACGGATATTATTCTAACGAATGGATTATACGCTTAGTCGATCAAGTGCACTCTATCGTACACTCTCTCTTGGATCCAATCGAAAAACCACTTGAAGGATATACGGCAAAATATCACAATAAAAAAAATTGCAAATAATTGATATTCCATCATGACCAATGTTTAGCTTGATCTCGATGACTCTACAAATGAAATGATGGTATCTCGTATATTACATACCGTTTGGTGAGAAATAGAGAAAAGAAGAAAGAAAGAGGGAGAGAGAGATGCAGCAAGCTCAAATCTCGAACGGAAATTCCAAAAATTGGTATTTCAAGTTGTGTTTTCATTATCGCAATCAATGTTTGTTTAACTCAAGTCAAGCAATAATCTGAAAAGTTTTGTGGCAAACAATTTATGCTTTAAACACTCTCAATATACATCGCAGATTGTGAACCTAGTAGCACATTTATAAGTAGATGTTCATAGAATATTGATGATTGGAGCTCTATGATCTCTGTCTAACTGTGTACCACAAACTTGCTTACCATTCATTCCAATTAATTCTATTTAATTTCCTACTGCAAGATTGTTCATGCTTAAAAATAAGATATGTGTGTTCGCTTCACCCGCTCGCTCGCTTTCTCTTTCTCTCTCTCCCTCTTTCTTTCTTTTTAAATCTTCCACTGTCTCTCATCGTCAGCTGCTACTGCTGCGCTGCATCCAAAATTGAATCTTTATTTACACAATTGCAATCGCGTTGGAGTTAGACGGGATAACGAAAAGAAAATATCTGTCGACAACACACAGAAGAAGAGAGATACCAAGAAAATGTCGAAGACGGGAAATTCCAATTTTTTGATATATCCTCAGCGGATTTTGTTATAAAATTCAAGGCACGCTTCAAATTGAATTTAAGAGGTTGCACATAGTTTGTATTTCTTGACTCTTTAAATTCTAATGGCATACGTTCATGGTGTGTGTGTGTGTGTGTGTGTGTGTGTGTGTGACCCTCAATCGATTTTCGCGTGATGTGTCTGTTCGTGTCACAATTACAGTTTGAAATGTTTCATGGTGTTTTGCTCTAAATATTTTTTCTACTTTACTACACTCCTACTGCTGCTCTTTGTTATCTATTTTCAATTTACAATGTGATGAAGAAGGCGAAGAAAAAAATATTAAAAAGTATACACAATGTGTATGTGTATATAGTACACCTTAAGGTCTTGTTACACGCCGTGTATCACATGAGCGAATGCTTTTCTCATACTTCCTTTTTCTGTTTCCAAGTATTTGAAGGTCCAATGTGGAGGGACAATATAAAATGAAGGTTGTGGGGTGAAAGGCATTAAAACAGATAATAATAATAACAACAACAAAGATTAGGAAAATATGTGCCAAAAACATCAAACAGGAAAAGAAAAAAATGTTATACCATCAAGCGTTATGATTTTCATTAAAATGTATGACAGAAAAAAAAACAAACACACGGCATCACATCGTAACAGTCGAAACGACAGTTTCAAGTCACAAAATGTCACACTCACACTTTTGGTGTGTTTTTGTTTTTATTCGAAGAAAGAGAAATTGAAGTTGTCAGCCACCTGATGGAAAGAACAACAATAACCGTTGAATTTGAGGTGGTAGCTTCTGAAACTCCATGACAAAAAAAATTAATAAAATATTCATGCGAAAGATACAAAGCAAAATCCACCAACAACCAGAGTTCTCTGTCATATTCTACAGTCACTGTGTGTCATGGTTTTTTTTTCAGTTTTTTTTCGTTTTCATATTCTATTTAATTTTTTCTTCATTTTGATTTCGAACATTAAGGTTTTTGTAGCCAACCACAAAACATATAATACGTACATAATTCAATTTGGTTACTACCATGTTTCAATAAGGAATGTGACATCTAGGAACAAATGCTTTCTCTCTCTCGCTCTAACATACAGAGTTCCCGTTGTGGGTGAAAACCGAATTAAAATTGGAATTGGTATTGTTGTCGCCAAAACAATCTAAATTATGAAGAAGGTGACCGAAGCACGAGTGCCATTGCTATATTGTCGCCACGCCAATCCATAAAAACATGTTGGGCATTTTTTTTATCTGAAAATGTCTACATTTTTATATATATTTTTTTGGGCAATAACTTTTACGTACATCATATCTATTGAATATATCGAGAAGAGAGTATGTTATTCAGCGCTTATGGCTGAGTAATGTCTGAATAAAAACATACTCTCCTCTCGATATTTTCAATAGATATGATAAGTCGTAATAATAGTTGTAAATTTGATTCGATGACGAAAAATAACGGTGAACAAAATGGGAAAAATCAAACACAAATCATAAAGAGAAAGAAATACATATAAGAAGAATAACGGTCGAACTCCATAAAAAACTATACTCATTTTTCTTTGTTATTTTGTGGAAATAAATGAGCCGTTAGGGCAAGACTGCCTAATTCAGATCTAGTTGCTTATTTATTTGATTTCAAAAATTCAATTTGGCTTTTTTTCTCGATGTTTTTTTAATATAATTTGTACTTTTAAGCAATTGAATCAAAATCTGTGTAAAAATCATGGAATCATAAAATTATTGGCTCTTTAAATTTTGATACGAAATCAGTGTTGACGTGAGAATTGTTGTTGTATTACAACAAATAAACTATGTAAAAAAAACTCCATGTTCCACTTTTATACTTATAGACTCTGCGTACAAGTCGGACTTTTATTTTGACCCATTCATATTGAAAAAAAAAACCATGGACATGCATTGTCAAACAAATGGAATCGTATGTTAAAATTCAGAAAATTACCCTTATTGATATGAACCAAATACAAAATTGGGTATTTTCAAAGAAAACTGGAGCAGAGTCTTACTTGCCTTTGTTGTTGTTGTTCTTTTTTATTGGAATTTTACAAAATGTTTCCAACGATGAAAGGAATCTATGATATTTTAACAGAGGTCAAAGGGAAAGGAAACTAAGCCAAAAAAACAACAACAATAATGATATGCAATAGAAAATTCTAATAGTTGCTTTTTCATTTAACATTCGATACAATTTCATTTCTCTCTATAGATTACCACATAGCAACCTTTGAGCAAATCAAGTTGTATCTGTCCAGCACCATGCTGCATGACATTTGGTCATTTAATCGACCGATATCGCAAAAAAAATCTCCCATCGGATTCCGCCATAATTTACGTAATTTAAAAAAAAAATGACAAATCAGAATTCGAATATTCTTATTTTCACTTTGATGGCAAATATGAAAAAAATACTCAAGTAACCGTGAATAATGATGACTTTGCATCCAATTTAAATGTCAAATAAATGAGTTCCAAATGTATTGAGCTAAAAATTTACTCATCGGAACATTTTCCATCCATACACTATCCGCATCGTTCAAATTCAACGCGATAACGATAATACGATGTTTTTAACTGTACACCCAGTTATTATGACTCAATAAAACCACGCATAGATTGATGATTTCCCGACATTATTTTTACCCGTAATTATCATCTGATGCAAAAAGATGTCTCCATTCTCAGAATAATAGGTCAATTGAATGATAAACATGTACCAAAAGCGATTTGATTTCCATTTCGACGCAACTGATCAGAGCCAGTAGTCATTAATCAATCAATGTGTTCATTGGAATATTTGGATGGCGAAAAGTAATCGAAAAACTACGATATATACACTATTGGTTTGGAATTGTCATGGGTGACTTTGAAATGCGAACAAGATTTGAAATGTAAGAAAGAAAGTAAAAACGAAAAGAGTCCATATGAACTGAAATGATAGAACACGCGTTATTGCTGAAATTAGAAATCAAACAAAGAAACCTTAGTCGAGGCGAAAAACCGTCGTGATGAGACCCAACGTTGAAATACAACATTTTTGATAAGAGTTTTGTGAGTTGTTAGTTTCTGCATTTTGTGAAAAAGCACTTGAGTCGCCTTCTCACAGCACTCGGTTGGTTTCATCATTCGCGTCTACTGTAATTTGCTGTGATATGTGTTATATCCGTGGATATGCTTGCTTTACTTCTTGCAGCTGTGTGTGAGCGTAATATTTTGGATAAATGTATGTTGGATGTTATGAGTGTGTGTGCACCGAATGCTCCTTGAAACATATTGTTCATACTGTTCTATAGCTATCCTTTCTGACCTAGTTTCATGTATATACATAAATTTTTTGTATTCTGCTTTCGATTATTAATGTGAGCAAGTCTTCGTGATGCGTACTCAATCCATACCATTTGTTATGTGTACTACATCTCTGTGTCTCCATGCCGTTCAACTTCATATATTCAAATTGTATTACATAATCAAGAACGCATGCTGTTTTCTATTCAAACTGAGAATAAGACAAACAAAAGAATAAGAGGAAAAACACACGCGAAACAATAAATGTGTATCAGCAGAAGATGAACCAGAGCAAAAAAAAAATGCGAGCAAGCACACACATTAGTGTTTTAAAGTAAGTTGAGTAGAAGATTTAATGCGGAAGAAAGATAAATTTTCTAATCATATCCAGCGTTTGTCTTGTTCTACGGTATTTGGATGCGAAATATATTTTTCAAGTGATGAAAAAAGATTGAGAAGAAAAAAAACTAACATTTACGTATTTTATCGAATACATGCGGTATATAAGTACACATGAAATGCCGAAAAATAAATGTGTGTATTGGTCTGTGCATGCGACACGATATCCGAATCCGGCATAAACACACACACACACACTCACTCACATTGTATGCATGGCTGTCATTAATTTAATATGATCAAATTTAAATATACTTAATAAAAATTCCAATTTTTTATTAAGAGAATGTTGTGTGTGCGCACGAGTGAGCAAGGGAGCACTCGTTTGCCACGAACTTAATCACTCTGGCTCGTTCGTTTAATATACAATTCTTCAAATGGGTTTTTATGTACTTGTTTAGGTTGGCGTTTTGCCTGTTATGCTATTACTGTTTGCTGATATTTTTACACCATGTGTGTATCTATCGGAGCTAAACGGTAATCGTAGTGTCTTGTTCGGTGCAAAATACGATTATGGCACATCATTTTACGTCAAGCGAATTGCAAAAATCCGTGGATTTTAACAATTAATCATAACAGAAAAATATTGCTTACAACCCCTGATACTCACAAACATACATTAACTGATTGAAGAAGAAAAATCCGAAGCGCGTACAAACGGAATTAAAATTAAAAACACGGACAAAAATACCATTTTCAGAGCATTTTACTCGAGTAAATTTAAGAAAATATACATGTGGAAAATTTTAATGATTGTGTGCATACGCTTCTAAACGAATTGGCAACCAAACGAACGAAAAAGATTCGCCTGAAAATAGAGAGAGGAGATATAGAGAGAAACCGTACAAAAATTGAATAAAATATTGTGCACAACGAAGCTTAGTGACCTCAGTGGCTCATTTATGTATGTGTGTAAGTTAAACAAGCGCACGACTTTGTGATTAGTGATGATAGAATGCATAAATTATAATGAACCGAATTGAAAACATTTGTAACAATTTTCCAATTAGGCCTGTTTCATTTTTTATGCAACAACAACAAGAAACCACTCTTTTGTTTTCCACACCGTCCACATTTATTTATAAATAATGAATGTTTGGCCGCATTTTTCGCACTCGCCTACCTCGACGCTGGTTTCAACTGCAAGCTACAAAACCATGTCAAACATTTAGCGGAAAGGAATGTTTTCAAATAAAACATGTTAGAGAAATGGGGAGAGTGAGAGAGTGAAAAAAGTTATGTTCCATTGCCTCTGGTTATGAATAGTTCCTGAGAACTCGTAAATCAAATTCGAATCACAATCGCATTAATCACATGCTCACGTGATAGTGAAGTTGTGAATTATTCTTAAAAAAAAAAAAATAGAGGAAAACTACCAACCCCCAATAAGAATGTAAGCAGATTCGTGATTTGCGCGCATAAATTTAGAAATTGCGTGCGAATTTCATTATTCTGCGAATATCCAAGTGAGAAAACAGGAAAAACGATTGTAATGAAAAAATCGAATGAGCGATTGGCACGCGTGATAGTTGATTATAATTCTGAATAGATGACGCTTCAAACGAAAGCGACTTTCAAAAGCTAGCGAGAAAGCGACAGCAGCGCTACTACTACGTCAGTGTCTGTCATGTGCTTCATGTCATTAATGAATCTAATCAACACTATCCAATACATGCCTAATGCACATCATTTTTCATTATCATTGCGGCTAATAGTACCCAGTTCTTTTTTAAATCGAATTCAATGATTTTTTTTGTAAATATTGTGAACATTCAGATTTGCCATTAGGTTTTTGTTTTGTATTTAAATTCGCTACATTGAAAATGATAGGATTTTATTCATTACTAACCACCGTCTTGTTATTTGCATTCAATGTTCTATTGACGAGAGCCGATGATATTCTTGGATGCGGTGGATTTGTTAAAAGTCATGCGGACATTGATTTCTCGAAAGTTGAAGTGAAATTGTAAGTTAAAATGTATTTTTATTTATGCAATTCATACAACGCCGCTGGTGATGAAATCAAAATGAAAGAATTAATTATTTTGTTCGAAAATGTGCCTTTCTGTGTCATCACCATCACATAGAAAACTCAATACGTGTACATTTTTGTAACTAATTAGATTTCATTGTGTGCCTTGACCATCGGTGAACTAATTAAGTTCATATACAAAATGCTTATATTTATGTATGTGTATTTCTTTGCGACATACACTTTTATGTGTATGATTTTTCTATTTTTGTGGGAAAAAAAGGTTAACCAAACAAGGCAGCTTAAAGGATAAAACTGATTGCTCACCATCAAACGGATATTATTTCTTGCCGGTTTATGACAAAGGCGAATATGTGTTGCAAATCTCACCACCACCTGGATGGAGCTTTGAACCCGAACGATTCGAAATCAATTTCGATGGGAAAAATGACATGTGCAGCCAAGGAAAAGACGTGAACTTTGTGTTTAAAGGATTTGGTATTACGGGTAAAATTGCCGGCATCAGTGGCAACGTTAAAGATGTAAACGTTGAACTTCGTTCATCCAGCGGAGCAGACACTCGCAAAACGGTATCCGATATTAATGGCGTTTTCTATTTTACACCGGTCATTCCGGGTCAATACACGATCAAAGTCAGTCGTAAAAAGTAAGTGAACGTTCTACTTTGATTAACCATTGATTTTTTATTATTATTACTATCGCTTTCATTAATTATTTCAAAAAAAAAAAAATCAATTCTCGTTTGTTGTGTAGTTGGTATTTTGAAAAGTCGGAATACGTTGTCACTGTTTCCAGTGGAAATACTGAATTGCCAAACAACGCGTTTGTCGTGTCTGGATTTGATGTGTCAGGAAGCATACTTAGCGATGGACAACCACTTCAGAACGTTGAATTTGTTCTATTGAACCGTAAAAATGTAAGATGATTCGAGAGAATTTTATTGAAATCTTTTTTCTCACTTTTTAAACACACATGAGTATTTGAACAATATAGTCAGAGCTGTTATTGGTCACGCAGAATTTTTAATTTAAATAACAGCTCTAAATACAGTTTGGATATTATCGCTTCATCGTCACATTCTTTTGTCTGTGTGAAACATAAAACAAAAATCAAAATTGTCTAACGTGTTTGCAATCTCTCCCAAACAGCAACGTCAATCATCTCAAAAATGCAGCTCAGTCAATCTACCTCAAATTACATCATCAAATTCTGAATATGAATCGAAAGCGTTATGTACTGCAACACCATCGGCGAGTGGTAAATTTGATTTCGAATCGATAGCACCTGGGAAATATTCGGTACAACCATATGTTCAAAGCAAAAACATCCAATTCCACATTCAGCCAGAATATATTGAATTTGAAGTAATCAATGATGCTGTTGAATTGAAGCAATCCTTTGAAATCACCGGTTTTAGTGTGTTTGGTCGTGTTCTATCTTCGGCAAGTGGTTTCGGTGTTGGAAATGCAAAGGTTATTGTGAATGGCCAACATGTGGCAACAACTCACACCGACGGTACATACACATTAAAAAATATCAAAGCCGATACATACAAAATTACAGCCGAAGCCGATAATGTTCAATTTGACGAGCGAAATGTTAAAATCTCAATTGCAAATCCATCCATTCCCGACATTGTAGTATCAGCATTCAAAGTATGTGGATTGGTTTTATCACACCAATCGTATACAATTGCAATCACCAAACATGCATCAACATTCCATACACAAGCTACAAGCCAAAAAGGAACTGGTGAATGGTGCGCATTTTTATCGGCCGGTAAATACTCAATTCAAATTTTAACCAGTTCAGAAGATTTGGCATCCGGTATTCAATTCTTCCCAAAACAACAAAATATCGAAGTAAATACATCACCATTGTCTGGCATAACATTTTCACAGTTACGTGCAACCGTTACCGGTGACGTTAAATGCTTATCGGATGGTGAAGGTACGGCTCAATGCCGTGCATCGACTATATCACTCAATCCATTGGATGCTGATGGTAATCGAAATGGTCAAGTGATCACCGCTTCATTGACAAATGGAAAATACAGTTTCTCAGAAGTCTTACCTGGAACCTATGAAATTGAGGTGTCAGTGCCAACGAATTTACTATGTTGGGAAAGCAATACACTTACATTAATCGTTAAAAGTGCAACCGAAATTGTACCAACCTTTGTTCACACGGGATATTTGGTGTCTGTCTCTAGTTCTCATAATACCAAGGTAAAGTCATTTGAAGAATGTGAATTTTTTTTCATTTATTCATAAATTAAATGAATTTGTTTTTTATGTTAACCTGCAGATGGGCTACACTTTCCGTTCGTCAAAACCCAGTGAATCGGCATCGAAGGAAATTTTCTTAGCACCCGGCATCAATTCATTTTGTGTCGATAAATTCGGTCATTATGATTTAACATACTCTGGTTGTCATACTTATGATTCAATCACACCAAAATCCTTTAAAACTGGTGATGAAAAACCGGTTGCTGTAAATGCGGTCAAGCATCGTAATGGTGTTCGCATTTTATCGGATATCAAATCAACGTTTAAAGTGCTGGTTGAATCGGAAAATGGACAGAAAAATGTTATTACATTCACCGAAGAATCGATTAAAGTTAATGGCAAATTTGCGTACCGTTATGATTTCGATTTAAAACCAACATCCAAATTAATACTCACTCCACAAAGTGACACCGTTCTATTTACACCACAATCAAAGGATATTTACGGTGCTAATGACTGTGTTGAGGTTAGAATAGATTGATATACAAAAATTGATTAATTATTCATTTGCTTCAATATTGAAAACGGAACCATTTCAATAATTTGGCAATTGAATTGTAATCGACATAATGCTATTTCTCATTGGAAATTATGTCAATTATTGTTGAATAATGAATAAATAATTTTTCGTTTCTCTTCTTTAGAATGGATTTACATTCAGCGCTGCAAAAGGTTTAATAATCAATGGGAAAGTTACACCACCGATAGCCGATGTTAAAATCACTCTAACATTCAGTGATAGTGGCGAAAATGCACCAATCGAAGTGCTAACATCATCGAATGGTCAATTCAAATTCGGTCCATTAAATGGAGATGTGGCTGTTAGTTTGTCAGCATTCAAAGAATCCTATGTCTTCTCAGACTTTGACAGTGAACGTGGTGAATTCAAAGCGCATAAATTATGTGAAGTAATTGCAACGGTCAAAGATGATCTTGGAAATAAATTGTCCGGTGTATTGTTGTCATTATCTGGTGCCGAAAGTTATCGGAAAAATTTGGTCACCGGTGAAGATGGAACGATTAATTTCCATTCATTATCACCAAGTCAATACTATTTACGGCCAATGATGAAGGAATATCGATTTGAACCATCCTCAAAAATAATCGATGTTAAAGATGGCGAAACGGTTCGCGTTGAACTCAATGGAAAACGGGTTGCATTCTCTGTATTTGGTTCGGTAAATTCATTAAATGGTGAACCATTTGGTGATGTTGCTGTTGAAGCACGGGCCGAAGAGCGTTGCGGCCAACATCAAGAAGAATCAACAACCGAACCAAATGGACAATATCGCATTCGTGGCCTCCAACCCGGTTGTGAGTACACAATTCGTGTACGATCAAATACTGAGAATTCGGCAACAATTGTCGACCGTACGGTGCCAACCGTTCGGCACATTACTGTTGGCAAAGAAGACATTAATAATATTAATATTATTGCAATAAGCCCATTGAATTATATTGATGTGATTGCCAGAGTAACGGCATCAAATAACGATTATTATAAATCACTTCGCGCTGTTATGTACAGAAAGGGTCAATCGGATAGTCCACTATATTCGCAACGCGTTGAAACACCGATCTCAGTCAAGAGTCGCATTAATCCGGGCGCTTTAGTATTTTTCCCTCGCATTCCATTCGATGGTAAATCGTATGTTGTTGAACTGACCACAACATTATCAGATAAAAACTATAAATTCACATTGCCCATTGAACAATTCCAAGCAAATCGTAGTACGATTTATATTGAATTGGACTTTACGCCGGAACTGCGTTCCAATGAAAATGAATTCAATGAAAATTCATTCTCTGCATTGATTTTACTTGGTTTGGTTGTGATTGCGTTCTTTAAACAAGAATTGGCATTTGAATTTTGCTCATTTTTATGGACCAAAATAAATGTCGTTGCCCAAACGGCCATTAATCAAGCATCATCGCCAAAGAAAAAAGACAATCGCTTCGATGCCACATACAATGAAAGTGAAATTGAAAAACTGGCGCAAAGCATAAACGCAACTAAAAAGAAGAACGTTCGAAAGACGTAAAGAGGGACCATATTGTTTTTTGTCGAAATAAAACACCGTCAATTTGTTTTTATAAACCAATACCATCGAATGCAAAATACAATTCGTTCCTCATAATAATGATTTCATGTGCAGTATGTATGGTTTCCATACATTTCTTTTTAGATTATTTAAGAGAATTAATTAACGAGGATCGACAATTATATCCTCAACATTTGCTATCAAACGAAAAAATTAATTTATTTGTAAAGAGGAGTTATGTAAATGAATAAAGTCTGTAAACATTTAAAGTACATATTATTTTAAAATGGACTTATATTGAATTGGTTTTGGTGACTGAATTTTGGATTGAATGACATTTTAAAAAATAAATAAAAGAAAAACGAAATGTTTCATGCTCCAAAATATTCGAAATATACTGAAAGCAAAAGAGACTGATGCATGTTAATAATATCGAACAAAAATTCACAGATTTAAATATTGAAACTAAATTTTGAAACAGTATTGAGTGATCATTTTTGCAGCTGCTAATGGTTTTAAACATAATTTAATTTTTAAAAGTAGATCAATCAATGTGAAAATCAGAAACATGTTACAGTATTTTTTCGGGCCATATTTTAGCACCAAAATCTATTTATAAAATTTTGTACATTTAAACATCCCCCCTCCAAAAAAAAAAACAAAAAAATATTTTAAAAATTCGCAGTAAAAAAATAGTTATCGATCTTCACAGTCAGTTGCAATGAATAAAATTAAATAAATTCGATATACAATTTTTATTTTTTATTTTTTTTTTCAGCTGAGTGCAAGAAATTTATTTGCAATTATAATGCGATTATGAAAAGAATCAAGAATTTATTTTTATTTTTCTTTCAAAAATGCACATCATAACAGTGCAAAATATATCCGCTGATTCTGTGAATTTATAGCATCAACAAGAGAACAATAAGAATAAAAAATAAATGTGATTCCACACAAATACTGATCGATTTTTTATTTGATATATTTTACACAGAAAGTTCTTAGGAAAAAATTATCTTCGATTCAGGTGTGTAGTTTGCAATAATAAATAAATAAACTAAATAAATAAATTAAATAAATACGAGAAATATAAATTCGATGTTGAGGTAATGTTCAATTTTTTTTTTCATACCGTAGAAATTATTCATTTTATAATTAAATTCGAATGGGTTTGTACGTTCGTTTACTACGTACATTATTGATTTCATTGTCCGGCTGGCTTGATTCTTCATCTTGAGACGAATCGCCGCCACCTTCTTTATCATTTTCCTCTTGTGTATCTGGATTTTCAGTAGTGCTTGCTTGCTCTTCCTGCTCATCGTCATCATCAACATCATTGTATTTTTCGGCATCTTTACAATCGTTAAACGCTTTGGAACAATCTGAGAATTTTTTCGGTTTGGCGATATTTTTGTCCAAAATGCGATAGCGTTCGAAGAAGTTTCTCCTAGAACAATGAACAAAATTAAGTACATAAAATGAAAAAAATAAATCGATGAAAGAACTATAAATCTTACCCGATAAATGAAAAGGCAAGTCGAGTGATTGGATTGGCTCTAGCACGAAAATCAAGTTCACACACAAATCGCTTTCGGCAACCTTCTGTGTCAACACCTAAAAATCGAAAGGCCAATTCTCCAATATCGATAAAACTAAAATACAAATCGAAAAATATTTTTTTACAAGAGAACAGTTATTATTAAAATATGTCATTGAACATTGTATGTGGCTTAATTTACTCGATTTGTGGTCTGGTTGCACGTCGTCGACGATGTTTTCCAACTCGACGATATGTGGCTGACATTGTGGGCGGTGAGTTGTCTGGTGAGTCTTTACCATCATTTGTGGATGACGGTGGTAGTGGTGAATCACCGCCTGGCGGCGATGAAATATCATGTGGATGATCGGGGAAATAATTTTCAAAATCGTGCGAATGATGATCGAAGTCATGGTGATAATCATGATGATGGTCATGGAAGTCATCATGATGATCATGATGGTCGAATGCATATGATGGTATATCTGAATGGACAGCCGAACCATGATATCCACTAAACGGTTCGACGCTTGGATAAGAAATATGACTCGAAATATCCAACGGGCTTGAATAAGATGTTACTGGACTATGATAGTACGATGAACCCGTGTATCTAATTCAACATTTTCCATTAAAAGTCACATTCAATGCTATATTTAAAAATTAAAAAAAGAAATACTCACGTGCTATCCAATGGATAAATGCTACCCTCGCGTAAATGGTCCCCATGACATTTTTTAACTGCCACAAACTTGGCATAATAATAAACAGCGAAAGCAATAATCGATGCAACGATTATGATTTTAAATTTGATGGCAAATAAAATGCCCAATGCATGCAAACCACCGAAACCCCCTATGTGACAATGAACGAAAAAGAGAAAAATTGAAACAGTGAAAAAAAAAAATCATTTTCACCAAAGTAGAAACAATCAAAATGTAGTAGAAAAAAGAAACACATTGCTAGCCGTTCGTATCGAACAACAACCAATGGCAATCACAACAACAGCATTCGTTTCAACTTGAAAATCGGTTGAGTGAAAGTTGATTTGCTCAAAACCAGCACCGAGTACATTTAGAATATAGCGATTGAACTTGGTCCGCATATTATATATGTCCTGCTTAGCCGTGATCGTCTAGTGGTTAGGACCCTACGTTGTGGCCGTAGTAACCGGAGTTCGAATCTTCGTCACGGCAGTGTTGACTCACTGTCACGGATGGGACTTTTTTTTCCATCACATTTTTTTATTCTTTTTATTATTTTAAGAAAATTATTGGAAAATCGGTTCATTTTTCCCGAGAAAAATTACATTGAAAAATACCGATTGTTAAGTACTGGTACATACATAGTATGTATTTTGTAAGAGAGCAATTTGAATGAAGAGAAAGAAAACATTGACACAGTTGAATAGAAAGGTGTCAATTTTCTGGGTGAAATTCAAATAACTTTCTTCTTCTCAAAGAAAAATTTCTTTTTTTTTCACTCTTCATCAAATCGATGGAGTGTCAAATGGACAATATGCAGTTCGTCATTTGTCAATTAGCGTAATAATGCGAAGCTTGTCATCGAGCTGATTTACATCAATTTTATAAACAGAGCAGAAATTCAATTCGGACATTTTTCATTCGCAAATAATGAAAAGTCAAACGAAAATTATTTTGACTATAAATATACGATGGAATATTTTTTTTATGAGATATCAAACACGTGGAGTGTTTCCACAATGTAAAGATGTTCAAGCATGACATGTGTGTGTATGTGCGTTGTCTATATCTATACAAGTAGCGACTAGCGAGATAGATGTAATCTTTGAAATTGATGTACTTTACATATTCATTCGAAGAGATTCAATGAAAACAATCCATTTAAAATTGAATGCAAATGCATGTGTGCTTGTTATTTTAGGTTAAATAAAATTACGCAAGGCATAAATTGATTAAATAAACTCCGAAAGCCGAAGAGAGGTAAATTAACAATTGAATGAAAAGTAAATGGTTGCTACCAAAGTGAATGTAACAATGGTCCAACACTTGAATATCCAATTTAAAACCAGATCAAACAGCGAGAAAATAAGAGAGAGAGAGCGTAAAGAAATGAATTGAACTATATAAAACAATAATGACCTGAATCTCTTTACTTCTAGCACTATACTACTGCTTTCCAATGGCTGTTGTACGTGAAACTTACATACATTCACAATGCTTTGACATAGCGATAAAATGATTTTTTAAAAATAATTTAAAAATGATTTTGATGGAAAAAATGGAATTCTTTTCATAAAAAGTAACATTAGATGTGGTATAAATGATAAAAAAAAGTCCCATCCGTGACAGTGAGTCAACACTGCCGTGACGAAGATTCGAACTCCGGTTACTACGGCCACAACGTAGGGTCCTAACCACTAGACGATCACGGCTATGCGGGACATGTTTATTTCTTAGTTTCAATCGCTACATGTATAGTATAACAGCGCATACTTTGCTTTACTTTATCGCACCAAAATACTACACATGCTTTACTCACACACATTGTGTGTGCAAAACGGCTGCTTCGTACACTGTCATATTTGGTTGGAAAATTTTTAAACCAAAAACAATCAACGACGTTTAATAAATTCAGGAATTCTTGTGCGTTTTAATATTTTATCAGTTTCTTATTGGATTCTAAATTTTTTGCGATTGCTCGAAAAGTCTATTGTAATTTTTGTCTCATTTATATCGCGGTTTTAAGCTGTAATAATGGAATTCACTTTGAATTGATAGTACTTTCAAGGCGCCTGATGTTTTGCTTTTACTTTTAGCGATAAAAAAAAGTATTTCTACTCACACAAAGCGTGGAATGGCAATAAGAACGGAAAGAGTTTTGATTTTCTTCCTTCAACTGAATACTCCTTAAGTTCCTCTTGCCATTTATCAGTTGCATTTAAAATATTCGAAGCCATGTCGTAGATTTGTTCGATTGTCACATTTTCGTTGGCAGCCGAAACTACATTCAAAACGGCAACGGTGCCGATTAAAATAAGAGTAATTCGAATCATTTTGTTAATTTATGACTTTATATATGCTTTTTCTTCTTCTATTGATTTAAATCGTAATAAATCGAAGCACTTCGTTTGTAACTCGTTAAATTCACTTGGAAATATTTATAAAACACAAAAAAAGGTTTTAAAAATGAAAACACACTGCAGGATCCACTTTAAATTAAAATTTATATATTCCCATATTAGGTGTGCTTGATAAGATAATCCAATGTGTACTGTCTGAATGTCCGGTGCGGGCGAACATTTTTATATGGAATCATGGTTTCTTACAATCATCTTCGAGTTAAAGGTCTAATTACTTTTCATCACGAGCACATCGAATTTCAACAAAATTGACCAGTTTTGTTGATGTTGTTGTCCATTCAGTTTAGCAGAAGTGCAGTCGCTGAATTCAGTGCGAATTCAAACAGAAATGAAAAGAAGGAATAGATAGATAGACGATAGATGGTCATTGGCATTGAGTTTCACCGTTCAACAGCATCTAATCACTCATTCTATTTGAGTAAATAAATCTCACACATCGAGCAAGTGTCGAGAAAAAAAAAACAAATTCACACTAAATATTTGACAAAGACGAGTGAAAAAAAAAACGTCGGTTGTTTACTTTCATCACGATTTGTGAATGAATCTTGAAAAATTGTACCATTATTTTTCCAGCCAATGAAGAAAGCGAAATTCTAAGTCTCGTTTAAAAAGTCGGAAGCGATATTTCGCCCAATCATGCGACATTCATTATCAATACAAATTACCAATTCTGTTTCGTTTTCATTTTTCTCTGATTCTATTGAATTTATTAATTAACGCATGTTTGGCATTGTTTTTCCTCTCCATATTCAAACAACTTTCATTAATCACGATTTATGATAAATTCAGGTGCATTTGTAGCCGAAAATTGTGTGCTTATGTCAAACAGACAACAAATGAAAGTGAAATACAAACAGATGACTTTAACATCGGTTTTTTTTCGTTCAATTTGCAAATTTAAAAATTAGCCTTTCTTTGTTCAACTAGAATTTTAATTGAATTTTATTCAAAAATACAAATGTGTAAATATTTTTTTTATAGAAAATAAATTGAAGTTAAAATCGTCCTATTCATTTCTCGACTGCAATTATATTTAATTTGATACATAAAAAAAATTCATTAAATCACAAATAATATTTCGCACAATTAATCAGGTTAAATTAATTGGCCAGTCCAATGTAGCTAGTGTTTTTGCCAGTTTTCTTAATGGATTCCAACAGTTGATCGGCGCTCAACTCAGCTGACGTCACAAATACTTTCTTATTTTCCAAATCGATGCGAACATTTTCTACCTTATCTGTAATTAGAAAAAATAAAAACAACAGAAATTATAAATATCAGTCAGTCTTATAGATTTTCGAAAGAATCGAAATAACTTCAATCACTATAATCCATCTTATCAAGCTCCGATCAATGATAAGAAGACTAGAATGCCAGTAACAAGTGAAACAACAACAAACATATCGGCGTAAGCAATTTTGAATTTTAAATACTCACCGCCCAATTTGCCCAAGACTTTTTCCACAGCTCCCGAACATCCACTGCATGTCATTTCGACACTGAATTCATACACCTTTTGATACAAAAATAAACAAAATTCTTAAATGTAAATCGATGCAATAATGATGCCATCAATTTAAATAAATGCTTGCAACATCTTATTTCAAAACTTACCTGCGACATTTCTTTTTCGGTCAAATTTTCTACGGAACTATTGCACACAATTGAAACTGTAATTGAATTAAATTTATATGATCTATAATGCTTCCTTTTTATCGTCAATTGAACTTTATTTTCATTTGAATTGCTGCGATGTCAATACCTTTCTATGAATACAATAGCTGTGTCTCTGATTCGATAATCTCGGTTCTGAGTGGACAATATGTCAAGAGTTTGAATCGCTACTTAAACTCATATACTTGAGTGCGTACTTCTATGAGTAAAGTCGACGTAAACAAACCTACTCATCGGCGAATTGAAACACATGTGAGCAGAATTACCGATTTTTGATTTGGAACTTCAATACCGACATTTTCTGTTATTAATGTTGTTATACTTTTATTCTCAACAAGTAGATTTTGTATTGAGGTGTAAAAATATTCAAATGAAGACTGTCCAATGATTTTTTGTTGTTGGGATTGTTTTTCACATTGAATTCGGTTTTATGTAAAACTGTACGGCGAGTGTTCATTGATATGTCATCGTAAAACTAACAATATTAGCACTCTTATTTGCTTTATGATCCAATGACGCTTGATTTGAAAGCGCTCTCGTTTTTTTTTGTAAACCTTTTTTCTGGGTTGATAAAGCTGCCTTGTGCCACAGATGCTTTTTTTAATCGCAAACATTTTTTAATTTTTTTTTTATTGTTGGAAACACGTGGGTAAAACAAAATCGAGCAATACATTCGACTTTAGGCATTAAAATGAGAGCATATTTTGAGTCGAGTCTCACACAAACATTTTATATTACCTGTTAGCTCGTTTTAAATACATCTTATTAGACATTTGAATCAGTCAGGAGGTAACTTCATTTTTTTACTCGCTTTTGAATTCGTTGCTTTATAAAATTGATAGTGCATTTACGTAAATTGCTTTATTCAATTTCAGTATTTGTTTTATTGATTTTTAGTTGATAATTTTCAATAGAGGGTGCTCGTTTTCATACATTTGATCATCGCGTTCCCAATTGGTTGTATGTTTTTGAAAAGTTCCAGAAATCAATCAAAATAATCCATTTAATGCCATGAGCTATCGCATATCTGAAGTAATCAAAACTTCAATGGTCTTATAGCAAGAGCGAATCGGCTTATGTTGGTTAAAAAAAATGTCAGAGATAAGAAATTAAAATCTCAAGCTGTACCTGAGTTAGTTGATAAAAATGATGTACAAACCGTGTTTCATCTCCTTGACTTAAGATTAATTAATTAATCCGTAGAAAAGAAACGACCTGTTCAAACTTACGAAAAGAAGAAATGAAAACAAAGCGTGTGTTTTTTTTTTGTTTTTTGTAATAACTTTTTGTTTTTGTTTTTATTATTCTCAAATAGATGATGTTAATAATAGACTGCATAATGCATATTCTACTTAAATTTGCTCTTTCCCTCTCTCTAGGTATAATATATTATTATTATTTACTTTTTTTTATTTATGCATTATTCTAATAGTTTTTGTTTAATAAATCAACAATTTTTTCACGTTTTGTCATTTTGCTTTTTTTTAAGTTCAACTCTGGTTGAATATTTACTGTGTGTGTTGTTTTTTTTTCTTCATTCATTCAATTTATTTTGTTTTTTGTTCATTTTTAAGTACTCAACGCTGAAAAACTTAAACGTTCTGTTTTTTTTAATTCCAGCGTATTTGTTGTTGTTATTCAGATACAAAAGTGTGTCACTCGATCGCATATTTAGAATTATCCATTAAATATATAAAATTTTGGGAGCTTAATGCAAACTGAAACTACCATATGCTGGAACTGTTGGTCTATAGTTTGCCATTTGCATAACTATATAATATTTTATATGTTGTTGTTTAAAGTTTCAATGAAAGCAATCATAAATGATATATTTTTCTTTTTAAAATTAGTATAAGGATGGGTTTTTTTTAACGTGGAAATTTCCTATGATTACGCAAATAGTAAAAAAAGGTCAGACATTCATTAGTATGCAACGCAATTGTTCATGCTGAATATCGTAGATGCGTTTATCAGCATGTTTTGCAATTTGTCGTATGAACCAAAAGTAATTTTGATGAATTAAATGTGTCTAGACACAGTCTACGGTATGCAACAAGACATTTTGCGTTAGCGTTGTTCGTAAAACTTTTTGCCGTTTCTTTTCTTTTGTTTAGAACAATGAGGAAGGGGGTGGGGAAATATGAATGGCAAAATTTAAAAAAAAATAATAATCACAAAACAGGTGAATTTGGCTAGCCTCCTGTTTTGCAATGAAGGAGGGTGTGTGTATGTCGCTTGAATCAATTAACTTTTTTTTTGTTTTGGCTTATTACAGTCGATTCATTTCGATCGATTCGAAATCAAAAAGAAGAAATAAGAAGAGACATGAATCGTATAAATTCGGTATTTCGTATATTATATTGTATCGGATACAATTGAAAATGGTTGCAAAACAATGGTGCCAAATTAATGCAATAAGCTTGCGTTCAGAATATACAACCAAATTCATTCAATTTGTTTTGTTGTTATTTTGACTGAACGATGTGATTATGTACAGATCAATCCATTGTTTTATTAAAGTTGTTGTTTTTTTGTCTTCTTCTTTTCGTATGTTGTAAATGTGCATTGTTATTTTTTTTTTTGTTAATTCTTTGTGATGAGATAACATCTTAGGCTTCTGTTATTAAGTATAGTGCATGAAAGTTTGTTTGTTTGGCAGTAACCGTTGAATTTGTCTATGAAACTCAAACTGGATCTAAGTTGAATTTATGTTTTATGTTTGGTTGTTTTTTTTTCATAACGTTGAATTGAAAGTGCTTATCCCGTTAGTTTCCAATTCAAACGTATTGAAATTTTATATGATTCATACATTCACATTTGTTTTTGTTTTTTTAATCTTTGTGATGTGCTAACGATGATTTTTTGTTCTTATTATTTATATTTTTCTCCCACAAGACTTTTTTTTGGTTAATTTTCTCTTCAATAATTTTTTATTGAAGGCCGAATGAATGGGTTAGCGTGTGCTCTTGAAAACTGATTCAATTCAAAAATTATTTATAATATGGACAAATGAAAAAGGTGGCAAATTGTGTGCCAGAAGTTTATCAATTTCATTCGAAAATATTCCAATTCTGGAGACTTTCAAAGATCTTCAGTCAATGTTTTGAAAATATCGAGTCAGTTTTTTTATTGTTGTTGTTCATTCTTCGATTAGTGTGAATTGAATGTTTCGGAAAAGAGCATAAATATCCCATCGCATTGCAGCCCACAATAATGACGTAAAACATTCTCTAAGTTAAATTTGATGAAACAGAATAAAAGAACCATGACCTGTTGTTGGTGTTATAATATTTCGAGAAAGATATTCTCTGTTTGTTGTTTTTTAATATTTCTTCACATAATATCGGTGTTGTTTCGTTTGAATAAATTCCTTGCCCGTTTTCTCATTTTCCATTCGTGATTTTTTTTTAGCTTTCATTTTTGCTTTTGTCTTCTTTTAGTTTTTTTTGCTATGATTTTTGTTTAAGTATTTTTTTTCGTTTTCTCAATTTTCATCCCATAAATTTCAAATAAAAAATCAATCCACATTTCATTTAAATTAAGAAAAAATCCAGCTGTTTTACATAATCTTTGTCCCTCGCGATCAACACTGTTCATACTTAAGCTTTTATCACTCGCTCCTTCTCAATAATCTATTCAATGGAATCGCCGCCGCGCACCAATTTAGTGTATTTATTCATTTGTTCGCCACTGACCGGCAATTGATTTGCTCATTTTTCGGTCAATTCTTTTTTGGAAAATCCATAAAATTCACAAAGCAAGCGATCAATGCATGAACAAATCAATAAGTTTAGCAAGGCACTTGATGCAAAATGAAATTCTTTTCTTCTTCTTTTTCTTATTAGTTTTTTTTTAATGTCTCCTCGTAAGTGTTGCTGCAGCTTGCAACACATTTTGTGTTCTCTTTAAACACACTCTTTCAACAATTTTTTTTTTGCGAATTTTCTTGAATTTTTGTTTTACTCGTTCAAAATTTTCTCATTTTTTGATGTCGTCATATAATGTGTGTTGCTTTTGAACTTTAAACTATTTGTTTTTTTTTTTTTTTTTTTGAATTAATGCTAATGTTATTAATGTCATTCATTCGATTTTTGGCGTTTTCACTTGTTTGGATGTGTCGATTATTCGTGGATCGAAAAATGGTGATGGAATAGACACATTTTAATTGAAAATTTGATTCAGATTTCCAATTGAGACACTCACATTCCAGGACCATTCTTTCCCGGTTAATTGGAAAGTGAAATTCTTTCCATCGAAATCGATCAACAAATATTGAAAAATTGATTCATAATGGTGTATGTGTGACAAAATGAAATCAATTGATTCAACAAATTACTCATAAGCATAGATAACATTATGATTGTATGGTCACATTCAATTGAATGAAATTTCTTGTTCGCAATGTGCATTTTATAACTATCCCATCTGTAAACACAATGCAATTACTATTGTTACGTGGAATTATGTGTTATTGTGTTTTTTTCTTTCTTCACGAATTGTTGGAATTGACATAATAGCGAATGCATTGTGTTTTTTATTTGCTTTAAAAATGCAAATGAACGAACCGAGAAATGAAAATTATGTGTGTGTATTGAATGATACAATCAGTAAAATGGACTTACAGGAAAATGCCTGCACAAATCGACTTCAAAATTGCTTCGTTCTTATCCCATTCTATCATCTTTCAAATGAAGTGACAGTTTTTTCTTATGTGTGTTTTTTTGTGTGTGTGCGCGTTTTTCTATTTTCGATTTTTGTGCAAGTAATTTCGTCAGTCAGATTGTTTGTCGTCTATGTGGGTGTTTGTGTGTGTGTCTGTTGGAAAACGCCAATAAATTGAATAAATTGAAGAAACTCAAGTATTCGAATCATTTTCAAGAGCACAGATGACATTTCGCACTGAACAAAAAAATAAATCCATTTAATGATTTCAGATGCCATAATTGAGATGTATGCGTTGAAAAATAAAATCGGAACGGAAACGCAAATGATTTTTTCAAATGAAGCAACAATTTGAATTGAAAATGCTCAAAATGGTAAATGTGCTAAATAAATTTTTTTGCAAACCGATCACAATAATTGATTTTTGATTTTTTTATTTTGATGAAATGTGAGTTTTTCACTGAAAAGTAATTATCAATAATTTGCACAGCAATCTTTTTTTATCGC